CAACCACTGAGCTGTTAGTCCAGTTCTGTCTGGTGCCTCTGGCTTTGAGGGTCACTGATATTGTCTTCCCCACAAACTCCTCTACACTTTGGAGCAATAGTATGGGAAACATCTTGGCTCCAAAGAGGAACCTGGAGTTTGTGGAGGGGTGGGGGGAGCTCGGAGGAGGAAGGCGGGAACACCAGGGTTGTATAGATACAGGTGGAGGGCTGAGGAGATGGCTCAGTTGGTAAAGCACCTGCCATGCTACCATGAGGACCCGAGTCCAGTTGATCCTCAGCCCCCACATGATGGCGGCACACGCATAGAGGATCCCCGTGGCTTGCTGGCCAACTTAGTCCTGCTGAATCAGTGAGCTCCAAGTGGAGCAAAGATCCTGCCTCATAGCCAAGGTAGAGAGCGAGAGAGGAAGACTCTTACTAGTAAACTTTGGTTTCCCTGGGAGGTACAAAAGTACACCCAGAAAATGTCAGTCACTGGACGGCAACAGTGCCAGTGGGCATGGAGCTGTGACGCTGGCCCAGCACAGGACCCTGGAGGAGGCCTGCCTCAGCCTTTCTCCTCTCTTCCCCAGGCGCATGCTCTGCGTAGCCACTTTTCTTCTCTTCCCTATCAACATGCTGGTGGGAGCTGTCGTGGCCATCTGGCGGGTGCTCCTCTCTTCCCTCTACAACGCTGTTCACCTGGGCCAGATGGACCTCAGCCTGCTGCCACCAAGAGCCGCCTCCCTGGATCCAGGTAAGGTTCCTAGGCAGGGACTGGGGACTGAGCTGTCCAAGCAACTGCCCCACGCTGACCTTTGAGCTGATCTGTGCATGTAGGCTTCTTGTGTGCAGCAGGTTGTGAGCATTGCCAAGGCTCCATGGTGTAAGGCCATGTGTGTGCAGTGTGTGTGTGCTGTCAGAATTCCATGAGTGTGTGCACAGAAATGGCAGAGCTGTTTGGTGCTGGACAGTCATGTGCAGCAGGGTGGGTGTGGTGTATTCTAACAGGCGTGCCAGGGCCTGTATGCAGTGTGTGTGCCATGCTTGGTTGGATGCCAGTGTGTACACATTTCCCTGGATGCCTCTTGCTGTTTCTGGGTACTTCTAGTCTGCCATGGGCTCATCATACCTTAGCTTTCTGTCTCCAACCTATCCTAGGCTATCACACGTACCGAAACTTCCTGAGGATTGAGGCCAGCCAGTCGCATCCAGCGGTCATAGCCTTCTGCACTCTGCTCCTTCATGCGCCAAGTCCACGGCCCCAGCCCACGTTGGCCCCCCAGGACAGCCTCAGACCAGCAGAGGAAGAAGAAGGTACTTCTTCACCTGGGCTGGAGGTGTAAGACTCCCAGCTTCTCAGGGAGGAGTCACAGAAGACCTCTCCAAAATAGTGAGCAGCAGGAAGTCTCCCGCCCTCTGTCCTCCAGCTTCCTGTTGTCAGCCTCCTGGCTGGGTCTCGGGGTAATTTTCTCTCTAATATGGATTTACACACTGTGTGTGCAGAGAGACTAGAATAGCTGTATTGGTTCTCTCCCCTACCCCCTGCTTCCTCCTGGAGTGAGACACCCCCTCCTTCTCTGCCCAGGAGGTCTATGGTAGGGTCAGATAGGCCTGCCCTCTCTTCCCAGACACCCCCCGCCCCCCCGACCTGCTGCTTTCAAGTCTGAGACTTCTAGTTCACAGACCTCATCTTCTCCCTCCTCTTCCACCAGAAGACATACTTCTGCAGCCCAGCCTTCTACTATTCCCCCAGTTGGTAACTGGAACCCTGGCTGTGCCGGGAGGTTTCAGACCTTTCTCAGGTCTGTGGAAACTTGGCTGGAACTCATAGAAGGCGTTTCTCTCTCTCTCTCTCTCTCTCTCTCTCTCTCTCTCTTCCTCCTTTCTTTCCTCCCTCTCTGTCTTTCTCAGGGATGCAACTATTACAGACCAAGGACCTGATGGCCAAGGGAGCAGGACCCAAAGGCAGTCGGAGTAGGGCCCGCTGGGGTCTGGCTTACACGCTGTTACACAACCCAAGCCTGCAGGCCTTGCGGAAGGCAGCCCTAAGTGGTGCCAAGGCCAATGGCACCCAGCCCTGAGGGTGAGGAAAACCACAGGGCCCTGCTCTTATGTGCTGAGGCACATTCCAGCCTACCATTCTCCCTCCCATCCATGTCAGCACTTCCCCTCCCCCAGCGGCAGCTCTGCCAAGCCTGCAGATCCCTGTGGGATCAGAGAACTGGAGTCGCTGTGTCTACACCACCAGCCTCAAGAGGACTTTGGTCTGTGCTTGTCCACCAGGCTACCAGCTAGGGCTCTGGAGAAAACAGCTGGTGGGCTCTTAGTCCTGGAACTGGCAGAGCAGGGGTAGCTACACTTAGGCCTCTCTCTCCGCACTGGTTCTGCCATCAGCCTGCTGGGCCTCAGTGAGGCCCCCTTACTCCCTGCTGGTGAGGAAAGGTCTGGATATCTCCCATCCCAGCTGGCCCCACCTCAGTCCCAGCCCTCCCACCATGAAGGTGGAGCCTGTGTGGGCTTCTTTCTCCTTCCTCTCTCTTCTGGCCACCCTTTCCTGTGCAGCCAAGTCAGACTCCAAGAGGCCCCACTGAGCTGCCCGTTCCAAGAGCTACATATTTTTGTAGTTTTAATGCCGTTAGCTGTCATGAAAGAAGTTAGTGTGCTCCATGTAATAAATGTGCCCCTGAGGAACATTCCTCCTCGCAGGGGAGGGCTCTCAGGGGAACACCTACACTGTCAGTGAGCATTATCTGAGCTTGATTTGGGGGAAGTATGGGGGCTCTTGGGGTGCTGGGATGGGCACTGGGTGAGGATGGAGAAGAGCCCCAGTTTTGCATGATGATGGCTGGGGTCCCTAGGATGCCATTCCTGGACTTGTAGGTTTTATAAGATGAGCAGGATCTGGGGCTAGGAAGCCGCAGGAATGGTGAAGACTCTAAAGGAATAAAGAAAGACGCAAAGGGGAGAGAGGTGTCATGCAGAACAGAGAAGGCTAACGGCAGTGGACCAAGGATGCAGAGGAACAGTAGAGATGCACACACATTGGGGTCCTGGAGGAGATGGAAGATACGTGAATCAGAGAGATGCTCTAGATGTGGGTAACTGTGCCTCCCCACCCCGTTTGGGTCAGGGAGCCTCAAAATCATGTCTGTTTATTTCTAACTATAGATCAAACATATACACTGGAGGTACCTCCTGGCCTTCAAACCCATGATCTGGGCTGCCCAGGGGCCAAAGAAAGCATGCTCTAAGTCCCCCTCAGTCTACTGCAAAACATCTTCAATGTCGTGTGTCAATAACCCACATGGTCACAGGAGGACGGCTCAGATTCTGCTTCTGCCCTTACCAAGGAGACTGTCACAAGAAAATATAATCTGGCTGAATCACAAGACAAAGGGGTGGAAGGAAGGGGCCTGGTTCACACCAGGTGAGAGAAGATCTAAGAAAACATCTGGGAGGAGGTGATGTCGGAAACTGATTCAGCCAGATGAAGACCAGGAGAAGGGTGTACTGGGGAGAGGTGAGCAGAGGGTATGTAAAGACGCAGCTTCTTCGTAGGCTTTGTAAGAAGATGCTGATAGGGGTGGAGCCAGTCAGAGGGTCCATGGCTGGCTGGGGGTTCCTGCTATACACTAAGGACAGTGGAAGCCACAAAAGACCAAAGCAAAGGAGTAGCTAGTTCACTTGGACACAGCAGTTCCCATATTACTCTGCCCTAGGTGGTAAATGACAGGTGTATGGACCTTCAAGATGTCCATCCTGCTTAGTGGCGTGTGGAGCAGGGGTGCTGGGCTCCATGTCAGACTGTCAGGTCTAGTCAGTCAATCAACTGGACTTTTAGACAGTACCTTGGGAGATGGGATCTCATGCAGCTCAGGCTGGCCTCAAATTTGCTATGTTGCATAAGCGTCTGGTCTTCCTGACTTTATTTCCTGAGAGTCAAGATTAAAGGCATGCACCATTACTCCAGGGCCTCAAGCATGCCAGGCGAGCCCTTTGCCAGCTCAGCTACGTTGCCAGCCCTCTGTGATTTGAGTTCTGACACACTTGAAACCCAGAGACGGGCATACACTTACCCAAAAGAACAGCATAAAGGATATGGCTCCATCCTGGTGCTTTCGCTCAGATGTGAAGATGTTCTTGACACTAGCTGGCTGATGGCTAACAAGGACTCAATGGGAGCCACAGGTCAGAGACGGATGAGGGAGAAGGAAAGCAAGCCCTATATGGGGACCCCAGTGTGGGGGAGGGGCTGGACAGCGGCCAAACTCACAGCTGCTCCTCCAGACTCCTCAACCCCCTGCCTTCATTCTGCTGAGTTCAGCAGTCCTGGGGCTCTGCAGAGAGGGGCAGGCCTTCCCCTGAAGGTCATGGTTCCTGTGTGCACATATCCACCCTTTAAAGGTGGGGAGTAGGGAGACACCTCTGGCCCAGCACAGGCCTGGAGTTCTTCAGGGTCTCTGCTGGCAGACCTATCTACAACCGCACCACTGTGTCTAGCCCCCAACTCTCAGTCTTCCCTTAGGACAGAGGTTTCTTCTCCTAGCATTCCTTGTGGGGCCATTTCCACTTACTAGAGAGAAAGCCTGAGGGCAGCATTATTCCCTGTCCTTTTCCTTCAGGCTGTCGTCACTTTCTTCTTTGTCCTTTGTCCCCTACTTCCCCATCCTTCAGTCTCAGTCCATGTTCTTGCCCCATCTGTCCCCAACTCTATTCCTAACACTCTTCCTGGGTCTACAACACATGTCTTTCACCTAACCCCCTCCCAAAATGCAGAAAGCAATGCTCAGGTTCCTATCCCACCTGTCCCATGAGTTAGTTTGGAGACAAAAATATACAATTTGGCTCATCTTAAGGCCCAGTGATGAGTCTGGGCCCCCCTTCCATGTTACCCAGAACACCCTGCACATAGTCCTGTGGGTCCCTGCCTTGTGTTGGCACGACTCTTCCATGTGGCCATCCCATCCTTTCACAAGGACTCTTTGATCCCAACAGAATTCCAGGCAGACGAAAGGGGGCATCAGAAATGCTGTTTATTTTTTCCCCCGGCTATCCCAGACTGGCTAGCTTCTTTGGAGAGGCAGGTTACCGGTACACACTTGGAAATAAAGGAGGGACAAGAGTCTCGAGAAGCAGGCACAGGCTGTGGGATTTGGAGCGAGAGGAGAGAGAGGCCCAGCCAGGGACAGTTTCCACATTTCACCAGAGGACATTAAGAAGACAGGGAGAGCTTTCAGCATCCCCAGCCCTTCCTGTAGTACCCCCTTTCCAGATCCTGTACTGGCCACTCCAGGTTCCCCTCCAACCCGGCCCCAGTACCCACTTGGGTGGCCTCCCCAAGCTCCTTACCTCAGTGCATAAAGTGGGCCAGGGTTAGGGCATCATTGGTGCCCTGTTAGCATGCTGCCCCTGACAGGAGCATAGGCAATACTGTTAGCAGCAATTAGCACCAGAGACGATGAGTTCTGGGATATGGTTCTATCCTAGCTGCTAGCTCTGAGCAGATCGACAAGTTGGAGCAACGAGTGGCCTGGAAGAGCTTAGAAAGGGAGGTAGGAAAATATGAAGTTGCCAGGCCAACCTCAGGCCTCACCAGCCCCAGACCTCAGTACTTAGAAGGAACCTTGGCAGGGTCAGGAGGAGCTGGAAAGGCCCTGGGGCTGCTCCAGCCAGCTGGGACAAGGTGTGGTTAGAAGCAGGCAAGGGAGAGAACAAGCAAGCTTTGGCCCAGTAGAAGCAGGCCCGAGAGCTGCTGCGCAGGCTTCCCTTCTGCTGCAATTGCAGCCTCCGGGGCCCCGGCACGGCTGAGGTAAATGATAACCACATTGTCCTCGGGTCCAGACGGCTGTACCTCGTTGTCAACTGTGTAGCATCCTTTGCCCTCCACTGCTTTGCCATGGAACCTGCGTCCCAGTGTATCCTCGCCCCCCTCGCCAGGAGTGGCCAGTGCCACATTCACAGAGCTCTCAGCACTGCCTAGCTCGTTGGTGGCCAGACAGCTATAGGTGCCCTCCTCCAGCTTGCCAAAGTCAGGGATAAGTAGACTACCATTGGCAAAGGCCTGGAAGCGTGGCCGCCCGCTGGCTGCAAGGGCACCAGGTAGGGTACGTCCGTCGGTGCCTACATTAGGACTGGCGATCTCCACTGTGCCACCAGGGGTGTGGATATGCCAGTGAAGCTGGGGGACTGGCTGTCCATCCACATCGCAGTGGAGTGCCAGCACAAAGCCAGGCCGCAGCTCTGCTCCGTCCTGGCTGGGCTGGTAGCTTAGCTGCACCGAGGGTGCTGAGCAGGGCAGGGGTGGCAGACGGCTCAGTGGGGTGCCCTTCAGCACATGTGGTGAAGTACAGGCAATGTTGTCCTGTTCCGGAATAGACACTGCTGTAGCCAGGGCCCATGTCTTGAACCACACAATGCCGCAGGTGCAGTCAAAAGGGTTGTCATTGATCTGCAAGTGAGACAGCGCGGTGAGGGGTGCAAAGGTGCCCTCAGCCAAAGAGTGCAGACGGTTGTGATTGAGCTGCAGGGAGCGCAGGGCACGGAGGCTGCGGAAGGCATCCCGAGGGATAAAGGCCAGCTCATTGCTGTCCATCTTGAGCAACTGCAGAGCGCTGAGGTTGTGCAAGTCGCCCCAGGCAAACTCGGAGATGAGATTGTGACTGACATCCAGACTCTTGAGCTGGCCCAGAGAGGCCAGGGCACCAGCAGCCACCGAGCGGATCTCATTGTGTGCCAGCCACAGCGACTGCAGTAGGGGCACCTCGTTAAAAGCTCCCTCCGGCAGGCCTGGCAGCCTGTTGGCTGACAGACTCAGTGTGGTCACATTGGCTGGGAAGCCTGGTGGCACGGCCTCCAGGTCACGATAGGCACAGTCTGCAATCTGGAAGCCATACTTCTTGCTACAGTCACAGGACTCCGGACAAGCTTGCACCAGGTTCAGGAGAACAGCCCAGCAAAGCAGGCACAGTTCCTGCATGGTAACTCCTACAGGGAAGGACATGCCACCCAGGTGAGTCAGCCTAAGGAGTCACAGAAAGGACCTACCCCTCCTCAGATCCCAACCATTAGAAGGCCCTGCAGAACCCAGCCAGAATCCAGCACCACCCAACCCACCACCCTCACTCCATAGGAGAAAGAAACTGAGGCCCATAGGAGGGCTTGGACTTGCCAAGGTCGTGTAGGCAGGCAAGGTGAAGACAGGATGGAAGTGGACCCCAGCTTCTCCTCTGCACAGAGCTTTCTGCCTCGGCCTGTTCCTAGCTGACTTTATGACTTGAAATCTGTTTTCCAGCCACCCCTTCCCCCAGCACTTCACAGAACCTCCCTTCTGCCCTCCCACATCCTGGCCACAGCCCCTCCCACTGGAGCCCCCCATAGGTATGTTTTGCTGCCCTGGTCCAGACAAGGCCCCTTGTGCAAATGCACACACACACACACACACACACACACACACACCCCTCCACCCCTCCCACTCCGTGGCCTGTTCTGTTCAAACTACCCCAGGCAGCTGCCTAAACAAACCAGCCAGGACTTCTCAACTAAGGCAGGGGGCCAGAGGCTCATCCCAAAGCAGCTGGGAGTCCTGGGGTTGAGATTGTCCAAGCAGATGCTGTCTGGATGGCTCTGAGAAAGGACCTGTTCCAAGTCCGTCAAACCCACAGGGGTGGAAGAACAAATCAGCCCAGACCTCCACCCTGACTCCCTTACCCCCAGCAGTGGGGCCCCTTCTTCCCTGACTTACCTCCAAACTGCTCTTCCGAAGGCAAGCTGAGGCTCCTTTAAGATGGAACCGAAGCATCAAAGGACTGGCTTGCCTACA